AATCAACAAAACACGTGGTTGCTTTCTACTGAGTCCATCCCGATTTGGTAGGAGTAAACAATACCGATCTTTTGGAGAGGGTAAGCCAAAATGCCCACTTTTTTCGAAAATTATGGTAAGACCGACAAAGAGCAAGAGAAAGGTGAAAAAAACCAATAGGAGAGCACCAAAGGAGCGTGAGTTTTCTTTACTTCGATTAAACCCTCCGCCCATAACTTGCACAGTACTCGCTTTTTTTAGTGAGTGATAAACTCTAAACTTGTTGGCAGGTAGTGTATAAGAACTACCTCTAAACGACAAGTGCCGTGTTGCAAGGAACAGTGAGTGATAAACTCTGAAACAAGTTGGCAAGTAGTATATGAGAACTATCTCTAAACGACAAGAGCTATCCTGCAAGCCATTTTCCCATATCTTATGATTTAAACCTCAACATTTCATTGAAGTGCCCCGACGTCCGGTGTTTTTCTTGTAAAAAATTTTTGGAAGGTGGTGGTTCAGATGATCGTCAAAAAGAGTTGTGACTATTAGATGAAAATTTAAATGACTGGTGGATCATCAATTAATATATTAGTTTATAAATAAATATAAAAAATAACAATTCTTACAATTGCTTGTGCCCATGTTGTATAATACATTTTTGTTAGTTTAATATAATCAGATTTAATAGCCCAACAAGAACTTTTACAATTTGCACAAAAGTATTTTTCCCGAATTTGAGATATAATAGATGCTATAAGTTGTTTATCATCATTAAGTTGAGATTCTTTGGGTTTTTTACTAAATAATCATGGCTTTTTTTTATTTAAATTATCATTGTCACTATTAGGTTCTTTAGTTTTCAAAATAACAAAATAATTAATAAATTTAAAAAATAAAAACTTTAAAAAATAATAAAATAATATACCAATCTAAGTAATCATTTTTTTTTATTACTTTTTGATAAATTATTTTGTATTTAAACATTAATGAATACTTCTTTTTTTTTTATTTATAGCTTGATTATAGTCCATAATAAAACTTCTAAAATCACTTTCACTAATAATTTGAGTTCCTGCTCTAGTTTTTTTTGTCATTTTATATGCTAATACATAATTATTTTGAGCAATAGTAGTATTATTTAATTGTAATTAAATATTCGAAAAATTTTGACTATGAAATTTATTACAAGAATCAGCTAAAATATTTAACCATTTAGCAGGTAATATAGTATTATCTTTATCTTTAATACATAGTTTAAGTAAAAATTCTTTAATTTTATACTTATCATTTTCATTATCTAATTCGTCTAACTGTCTATAAAAATTATAATTATCATCTTCTAAATCTGATTCTTCTAGATTCTCATACAAAAGACCCTCTATTTCTGGTGTATCAGCATCAAAAGTATTATATTCATCAATCTGTTTATTAGTCTTGGATGTGTCAATATTTATATCAAGAAGATTGCTGCCCTCAGGTATATTAGTAATATGCTTATTTGTATCAAGTATTATATGTTTAGTAGAACTAATAGGCTTAACAGGATCTGATTTTGTTGATTTGGCTTTACTTATACAATACCATTTGCTATTATATGTAGAGCAAAATGAAAATTTAAAATCTTTTATAAACTCTTATATATTTCTTTTGAACTTTCTAAAGCTTCAATTTGGTTGTTATTAAATTTTTCATTATAGTGAATTGTAAAAGTATAAGGAACCAATTTTGTACAATTTCATGTTGTAGATAATATATTTTTATCACTTTTATATAAAGTTTTTGAAGAATCTTCTTTGCAATAAAAATATTTTGCACACAGTTAACAAGTATCTATAAGGTATTCAACACTATCCATATTGATTTTATCAAAATGAGGATGAAGTAGTTTTTTATATTAAATTTTGCTATACATTTACAAATAAATTATACAATAGTTTATAATTGCATACAATCATATACAATTATATGTACAATTGATTGCAATCAATTGTATGTGATTGTAAATGATTGTTAGCAATCATCAAATTAAATTATATGAATTTTTTTTTTATTTGAATTATATGAATGAATAGAATTCTAATAAAAAAATTTATCAAAGTTAATTAAGTGGTTTTTGAGATATCTTCATTTAAAGTTTTAGAAAAAATTTGGCGCAGCTTAGATAATATTTTAAAAACTTTGAGCGAAGATATCTCAACAACTACCTGATTAAATTCAATAAAACTTTTTTCATTTGAATTCTATGGATCCACAGAATTCAAATAAAAAAATTCATCGAATTTGATCAAGTAGTTGCTAAGGTATCTTCGCTCAAAGATTTAAGAAGATTATAGCGCAGCTTCTATTTATGATAAACAATGGCATTTTTTAAAAAAAAACTTTGAGCGAAGATATTTTAGCAACCACCTGATTAAATTTGACGAATTTTTTTTTAATTGAATTCTATAGATTTGTAGAATTCAAATAAAAAAAAATCGCTGAAAAATCGCATGCAATCACGTAGAATCACATACAATTCATTGCAATTGATTGCAATCGAACAATCAAGTGTGCAGCGATTTGCAAATTTTATCAAAAGTCATATCAATTTGCAAATGGTGATAATAGGCGGCTATAATTTCATTAGTAAATTTTGAGTAATTCCAGTTTAAATTTTTTTAGCCAATCAAAATCGAGAATCTGCTACATATTTTTTGTATAGCACTAGGTTTAATATTCTAGCCGCTATTTGAAATTATATAGATTGAATAATACAAGGTTTCTAATAGGTATAATAATTTTAAAAATAATTACTTTTACTTTTTAATTTTGTTTTATCACAATAATTTAGTAATTTAAGTACGATATTTAAAATAAACTATATTTTTGAGATTATTATATTTGCTAAGATATACAGGTTTATTAATATTTGCTACTATATTTATTTGCACTAATTTAGTTGAAATATTGGTTAATATAATTAGCTATTTAAGTTTATAAAACATTATTAATTAGTGATCCAGCAGTTAACTAGAGAATGATTATAGTAAAAAGTGATTCAAATTACTATATAAATTTACTATCTCTTAAATTGTAACACAGACAAATTTGGCTGCGAAGATTTTTACTAATTTTTTTAATTTTTAAATTTTTTAATAAAATTTTAAATATTAATTTTAGCTATATATT